ATTTTTTAATATAAATTAATTATAAAAAATATAATAAATACATAATTAATTTACATCTTAAAAAAATCTTTTTTTTTCCCACCAAAGGCATCCTCCGAGACAACACATGGACGCACGCATGACATGAATAGACATTAATTTAATCAATTTTAAAATCATGTCAAATAAATAGATTCTTGAAATCCCCAGACTAGAGGACTTTTTAATTCACCTACAAAATTAAGGATATGTTCAATAGAATTTGAATATGTCTTTCTAAGTGACTTAAACAAAGTTTTAAGAAATTAAGCTAATTGATTCTTTAAATCCTAAACCAGGGGCATGCTTTACCCTTGTAATTCTATAATCACATGCATGAAAAATTATTCTTAACAACTCTAAATCATATTAAAAACTCTAAATTATTCTTAATAATTTTAAACTTTTTTTTTGTATGTAAAAAATAAAAATTAAACTTTAAACTTATAATTAAAAATATAATTAATTCTACTATCGGACTATATAGTTAATAGTCTTTAAACCATATATTAAAAAAAAGAGTGTTATGTGGACTCCATTTGGGCTTGAATGCACAAATATCCTTTCCCTCATTAGTCCCCTCTAATTTTTCATTTTCTAAATTTTTAAATTAAAAAAAGAAAAAAGGGGGGTACGGGCCGATTAAGGGAAATGCCAAGGAAACCACAGGCCAAGTAAACGCCAATCAGGGTACACTCGGGTCAATCAAAAAGGTCAAGGAAACAGCGAATCAAGGTGGCTGAGGAAGATGCCAACGAAGGTACGTTTGGGTCAATCAAGGAAATTTTTTTCTCAACAAAATTTGAATCATGTTAAAAAGTCTAAATTATTTTAAAACTATAAAATAAAAAGATCCAAAATAAAGCTAATGATATTTTCTATAAATGCCAAGGAGTGAATTGTGTTTATCTTGGAGTGGGTGGATCCATTCTATAAACACAAGCTTCAATCAACAGATATCTTGCGGGCCCTCCGAAACTACAATCCATTCCGGGCTGGATTAGTTTGTCTGTCTGCTTCTGCTTAATTAGGAAGCATGGATGCTAATTCGGTTCAGCCAATTCCATCTGTAAGTTTGGTTAATCTTTTCTACTTATATATATACATATATATATATATATATACACACACTCCTGTGTATCCACGAATTTTAAAAGTGTATAGACATTATTCTTAGTTAGAATTCTAACCAGAATGAGATGATCACTTGTTTCTATGAAGTTCATTTAACAAGAATTCTATTGCTTAATTTTCTTGTTATTTTTCTTTTTGTGGCAAAAAAAAAAAAAAAAAAAGAAAAAAAAAAAGAAAGAAAAAGAATAGTTATATATACGTATGGTTATGTATTTTGTACAGACTAACGCAGCTGTAACTCTAAGTGCGAGTATATCGGAGGTTCTTAGAGAAGATAATTACGAACGGTGGAGCATTTTAATGCAACACTATTTTGTGGCTCAAGGTCTTTGGGATGTTGTTCTATCAAGTCAGATTCCTTGGAATGAAGATTCAAGGGACTGGATTAAAAAGAATGCTTCAGCTCTGCTTGCAATTAAGAATTCATGTGGAGCACAAACGTTTGATCAGATTAAGAATATGAATTTAGCCAAAGATGCTTGGAATGCATTGGCTGATTTGCATAAACCACCAAATGTAGACGAGGGTAGAGGAAGTGGAACTGATGCAGGTTTAATTTCTAGCTCCGTCTATTTTAAATATTTATTCTTTGCTGTTTATTCTGTCTTAAATATTTATTCTTTGCTGTTTATTTCAATGCCTTATAATAATCATATACTTCTAGCCTTTGCAACTTCATCTTTACACATCTTCATCTTTAAGAAACAACAAATAGGTATTCCTTGGTATAATTATTTATGCTAAATTAGTATATGATTAAGAATAAGTATTACTATTTCCCATAAGGAATATGTAAGGCATGCTAGGTATAATGGTTTAGGAGTAATTGTTAGTAATTTTGCCAAAATCACTAAAGATAGGTATTTGATAAATTTATTTATTTCCAAACTATTATAAATTAGGTATTTAGTAAAATTTTTTATTTAATGATTTATGACTAGCGGATAACGATTAGGATTTAAAATGTTGGCGAATTTAAAAAGCTATTTTAAATAGTTTTCATACCAAATTATTAGTAGGTTGGAATTTTTTAATTTTATAGAAAAATTTATCCACTTTAATTTTTTTAATTTTTTACCATAATTTTTAATTAACACTTATCTAATTAGTTTCAAATTTGTTTTTCCTCTTTAATAACATTAAATGATTATTATATTTTTATTTTTTACATTAATTTATCATTAAAAAATTATCTTAGCTTAATAAAAAAAATTTGCTAATTAGAGGAAATGATTAAAATTCGTTTTTTCTTTATTTAAAAATAATATAATTTTTTCTTTGTTAAAAATAAAAATGAGTATGTGATTACACTATTATAATTTATTTTATTTATTTATTTATTTTCTTATTATTACTCTTATCAAATTAATAATTTTAATAACAAAAAATATAAAAAATACACTTATTTGCTTTTAAATATGTCATTATTAGTTATTTAACATTTATTAATTAATAACTACTAACTATTATATAACTAAATAATTATATCACTAAATAATTATATCAATCAAAATTCTTTATCTACTATCTATTATCCATTTTTCGCTATCCATCATTTGTATTTCGCTATCCATCATTTGTATTTCGCTAACCACACCCATTACCTACTACTATTATCTATTGTTTGCTACTTATTATACTGATTACTTGTTAAATTTTAATCACTATATCAAACAAGTCCATAGTCAGGTTCGAGTTTTCATTGAGTTCAATATATTGATCTTGAACTTGACTCAAGAACTTAACTTGCAAACTCAAACTCGATTTTGACTCATGAAATCAACTTGACTTGTGAGTACAATTGATTACTTGAATGTAATTTAAAATTTTAAATAGTTAATATATATAATTATTTTTAATATAATTGAGTCAAGATGAGTCGAGTCAAACTAATTTTGGATATGACTCGAACTTAACCCAACTTAATTTTTTGAGTTCAAATTCAAGCTTGAGTCGAGTTAAGCCCAACTTTAGATCAAATCAAGTAGTTAACAAGTAATTCAGCTAATTTACTGCACCATGTATTTCTTGCTTGTCTCCTTACCTCAGTGAAAATTAATAATATCAAACAATATCTATTCTTAATTTTTTAAGGAAGTTTCTCAATTTTAAATAATATATTTTTATAATTCTTTCACTTAAGTCATTAACAAAGGAAAAAAAATTAAACTAGAGTATAATTGACGTGCTTGATTTTTATCAATTAAATATTTTTAATTATTGATTTTTTACACTATAGAACAATCATGTTTTGAGAGTAGGATATAGTGATATGCACTCTGTTGAGTTGAAATATTTTCTTTGTAATTTTTTATCATATGTTAGTCACTTTTATAATGATAAATGAAATTAAAGTATAAATAATTCTTTATTTAGCCTCCAAAATAAAACCAAATATTTTATTCATCCCCCTTTTGGGTGTGTGCTTTTTACTAAATTAACTCTTTTATTCTATCTTTGAAATAAAAAAGTTAAGGAAACCTTGACAGGGATAATGGACAACAATAAAAGCAAAAGGACTAAATTTGCGCGATTACTCAAGAAAATTTACCGAGGGGATTGGAATGCCCTAAAATCCTTGGACAAAATAACTGAAATCATTTTTTGTGGTGGTTTCACTGTTCTGCATATTGCAACTATTTCTGGTCGCTTGGAGATTGTCAATGAATTGGTTAAGATAGCAAGAGAAGACTACTTGGAAATGCAGGATGACAATGGT